TACACACCCTCCTATGCCATAGTCACTAGCATCGTTCATAATTTGAAACGGTACCTCACAAACAAGGTATGCTATCGTCGCTGAACAGGCGATGGCTTCTTTGAGTTCTTCCCACTTCTTTATCAGTTCCGGTGTCCAAAACATGGATATGTTCTGGTTCATTTTTCCTTTCATTAGGTTCCCAAAGTGTTTCGGTGTGTGAGCAAAGTTGGGGACATGTCTCGCATGTAATTTGCTAGTCAAACTGCTTTGTGCAGATCTCTTTTTGTTCTGGGTAGTGGCCAATCTATCATTCGTTTCTGTTTCTCACGGTCTGCTTTGAGTCCCTGTGTGGTGACTTTTACCCCAGGAATGTTGACCACTTTGACCGCAAAGGCACACTTGTTGTGATTGAGTCGGAAGTTTGCGCTATTCAGTCGCTTGATTACTTCACAAACTGTCTTGCGGTGTTCTTCTTCTGTAAGATTCGCAATGACTATGTCATCGACATACACTTGCACTCCTTTGATATCTATGAGCAGATTCGCCATGACTCTCTGAAATTGTGCTGTGAATGAGTGTAGTCCAAACGGCGTGGACTTGAATGAGTATTGCGCTCCTCTCCACGAGAATGTGAAGAAGTGTTGGCTTGCTTCGTCTACTAGGAAGTGATAAAATCCTCCTGTAAGATCTAACTTTGAAAAGAACTGTGCCCCTTGTAGAATGTGTAACACATTTTTATTTTTGGTAACACAAACTTTTCCTGTTCATATTGATAATTGATCTCACGTAAGTCTAGACATGTCCTGACTTTCTTGAGTAGACCTGTTTGGTCATGTTCACCTGTTGATAGCAACGGTAGGTTCACCGTTGTGGGCTTGTCGCGTTTGTATATGTGGCCATCTTCAAGCCATCTAACCTCTTTTTCCGGGGTCTCTCCTTATGTGTAAGGATTCACAGGATACTTTGATGAAGTTATTGTTCTTCTAAGACCCCCTGTATTCCCCACTCGTTCTTCCTTTTGAGTGTAGATTACTTGACTTATTCTAAGTAAGGATATTGTAAAAAATGTAGTATGGAGAGTAGCTGAAAGGTACGAGGCAACAGGATACAAAAGACCTCTTCTCAACGGTTATCTCAGCTAGGAAAAGTCCCTAGTCGGAGAGAACTGAAAAGTCCCTCGACTGAGAGAACCGAACTGAGTCTTTATTTGTTTTAGGGTTTTAGGGTTTTGATTTACTTGAGTGTTTCTCTCACACGCGGGAGTCCCAGTATAGCTTACCGGTTCTACCGCTAATGTTTCTGATGACTCTAATATCAGAAATATTCCAATCCTAATTCCAAAACTCAGTATTTGATTATTCTGGATTTTGAGACTTGTATTGGCTTTTTGATAATCTGGTCCTTAGATGCTACACTCTGTCGTGCTGGAATGCACTGGCAATACCGACAGGTGCTTGTACTGGAGGGGCGGTCTCTCTTCGGGGATGGGTGTACAGAATAGAACAAATAAAGATAACAGTTACAAAATAAATGATTAACAAAATGGTTAGCGCCCAGAGCGAAGAAGCTTGTATTGATTGCACAATATGAATACGTACAAGGATAATAGCAGTGATGGGGGTGTATGCTGCGGTGTGAATGCTCAAGGGTGGATTCACGGTAGAGGATAGTGTAGGGTTGATTCTCAAGGGTGGATGCTCGAGTGAGAATGCTCGAGTGTGTTTGCCCGAGGGTGGATGATCGAGGGTCGATGCACGGTGGGTAATACTGCAGGGTGGACGCACAGTGTGCAATAATGGGTTTTCGGATGATCACGAGTTACGACCCCAGCGTTTTTGACAATGATAGATAAGAAAACTACAAAAACTACGTCTCGCAGAGGTAACTTGTGAAAACCATTATACACACACACACACACACACACACACACACACACACACACACACACACACACACACACACACACACACACACACACACACACACACACACACACACACACACACACACACACACACACACACACTACACACTACACTACACTACTATAACACACTACACTACTACAAACTAAATA